AGTAATACTTTGATCTATACACCAATCACATACCTTTGCCTTTAGGCGCACCTTGCATAATTAAAGCACAAATAATACTTGCATTATAAACTAGTGCACATCATTTGAAATTCACAATGTATAACCAGACAATTTAACCCAGACAATCCTATACATGATACTAAGTTCTCGATCCGTCCTTAAACATGCACCTACAAGCAAGGTTTCGTAACTTGTACGTACCTTGTGTAAACAATCCGGTTGGCCACTTTAAAACTAGAAGTCGCCTTCTACAAAGTCCTCTCCTAAACCAAACAATTAGAAATAAATCAATACCAAAGCAATTAAAATTACAGCAATACTAAACTACTTTAAAACCTCTTAAATCATCAAAATAAAGCCTTTAAATTGTCCCCAATAATCAAAGTTAGTAATATAACATCCCAACTTTAAGTTTATATGTTAGAATTATGAAAATATAGTGTTTTATATCAAATTACAGCAACTTTAAAGTGGGTAAATAAATCTGGAATTTTGTTTTAAGTATATAAAATAACCCCGTAAGCATAATTACTTGAAACAATCATTATATAGCAAGTTAGTGTGTTAAAAAAAACAAAGAATATATCAATTCAATACAATTAGAGGCTTCAAAATAAAAGGTATGAAATCTGAAAATTATTTTTAAAGTTAGAATTTAAAGTTCAAAGCTTTTCAATCACAAAATACTCACAATAATTATTTTATAGGTTTAGAAGCATAAAAACATGAAATTAACACTACTTTTAATAAATCTGAAAATTTATATATGATTAAGATAATTATACTTTAATGTAATTTAAACATAGTATGATTAGATGACTTGATTAATACTTTAAACCTTAAATTCATACATATACCAAATCTGAAATTTTATTTAATACTTTAGACATACAAAACCCATAAATTTATAGTCTTTTGTAATTTATACATACTATCAAAGCCTAATAACAATAATTTTATAATTGAAATCAAATAAAAATTGAATCTTTAATCAAAATAACAAGAAATATAGAAAAGGGAAGAAGAAGAAGAAGAGGCGAGCTGCAGGGGAGGCGTGGCTGTGCAGGCGGTGGTGGCCGGAGGTTCGGGTGTGCAGGCGGCCGGTGGTTCGGGTGGCTGGTGCGGCGGCAGAAGCTTCAAGGAGTTTTTTTTTTTTTTTTTTTTTTCTTGTTTGCTGCTCGTGAATGAAGGAGAACGAAGAGAGTGAAAGCTCTTTTTTTTTTTTTACGTGAGAGAGAGAAGAAGAAGGGTAAGGGTTTTTGAGGGTTTTATTTGGGCTTTGGGTAATATTTGGGTTTTGGGCTATAATGTTAAAATTGTTTGTAAATTAGTAAAAACACATTAGTTTACTTAAATCTTTTCATAAAAATAATTTATTTAATGAAACTGACATAAAAATATTTGTAAGAATAATATATAAATAAATTATGATTAAGTTAAAAATATGGGGGATTACAAATAGTAATATTGAAACCGAGCCAGTGATGGAGAAAGTGACGCCTATTGTTGATGAGAGACATTATACGAGCTTGGCTGCCCCTTTTCGCGCGGATGAGGTTCGAGATGCGCTTTTCCAAATGCACTCGACTAAGGCCCCTAGGCCCGATGGTATGTCTACAATATTTTTTCAAAAATTTTGGGATGTTGTTGGGAATGATGTAGTTGGGAAAGTGCTTGATATTTTAAATAATAATGGGGATATAGCTTTTATTAACCAGACTCGTATTGTTTTAATCCCAAAAAAGAAAGAGTGTGAGTCTCCTGTTGATTATAGGTCTGTTAGCTTGTGTAATGTTTTATACAAAATTGTTACGAAGGTGCTAGCAAACAGGTTGAAATTAGTACTTCCGTTCATCATCCATGAGTCGCAGAGTGGATTTGTTCCGGGGTGTTTGATCACTGATAATGTGTTGGTGGCCTATGAATGTTTTCATTATCTCAGGAAGAAAAAAAAAAGGGGAAAAAAAGGCTATCTTGGGCTCAAACTTGATATGAGCAAGGCGTATAATAGAGTTGAATGAGAGTTCTTACAGAAGATGATGCTTAAACTGGGTATGCCGGATTCTTTTGTGGGGTTGGTGATGAAGTGTGTTAGTACGGCCTCCTTTGATGTTCTAATTAATGGCCAACCGTCGAGAAAGTCCAAGTCTAGTCGAGGTCTCAGACAAGGGGATCCGATTTCTCCTTTTTTATTTATATTGTGGGCTGAGGGACTGTCGGCTCTACTTAGAGATGCGGAAAATAGGAAGTTAATCCATGGGGTTAAAATTGGGAGACATGTTCAACCTATTTCTCATTTATTTTTCGCAGATGATAGCTTGCTGTTTGTGAGGGCGACGGAAGAGGAAATTGAGAATGTGCTAGGGATTCTTTCTACTTATGAGGTGGCTTCGAGTCAGAAATGGAATATGGATAAATCGGAGGTGTCTTTTAGCCGAAACATTGAGCAAGAACGGAAAAATATACTTCAGATGAAGTTATCATTTAAGGCTGTCGAAAGACATAACAAATATCTTGGTTTACCAACTTACATTGGTGGATCAAAGAAACAGGTTTTCCAGAATATTGAAGATCGGATTTGGAAGAAACTAAAGGGGTGGAAGGAGAAATATCTATCTTAAGACGGAAAGGAAATTTTGATCAAATCAATTGCCCAAGCAATTCCGACTTATGCTATGTAATGTTTTTCGATCCCGGCTAGCATTTTAGATGTAGTTGAAAGGTTATGTCAACAGTTTTTTTGGGGCCAAAAAGGAGAGGAGAAAAAAATTTGTTGGGTCTCTTGGGATAAACTGTACATATCGAAAAAGCAAGGTGGGCTTGGTTTCCGAAATATGAGAAATTTTAATAAGGATCTACTTGAAAAGCAAGCTTAGCGTGTGTTATCCAATGAGAAGTCCCTTATGTCTAAGGTGCTTAAAGGAAAATATTTTTCTAACTCGACTTTGATGGAGGCAAAAGTGAGTCCGAATTCGAGCTATACATGGAGGTCTATTTTGGGTGCTCGTGAAGTTCTTATGAGGGGTGCAAGAAAGAATATTGGTGATGGATCATCAATCCATATCTGGAAAGATGCCTGGATCCCGGGTCTCCCTGATTTTAAACCTATTTCTAGGAAAGATAAGAATGAGCAGAATTTGAGTTATGTGCGACAGCTTTGGCATGATAGGAGTTGGGATATTGCAGCCCTTAACGCCAACTTTTCTCAGAATGAAGTGTGCAAAATCCTAAGTATTCCTATCCCCCTTTATGATTGTAGGGATTCTTGGACTTGGCATTATACGAAGGATGGCAGTTACTCGGTAAGAAGTGCTTACTATTTAATTACTGATGATCAAATGAAAAATGAGCCTACCACCTCTCATAGTGAAAGGCAATTTGATTGGAAGGTTATATGGAGTGCTGAAATTCCTTAGAAAATCAAGTTGTTTGCTTGGAGAGAAATTAAAGATGTTGCAGCTGCTCGTGCTAATTTAGATCGCAGAGGTATGGAGGTTGACCAAGTCTGCTCGATTTGTGGGGAGGGGAGTGAATCAACTCTACATATGTTGGTAAATTGTGGGGATGTGAAGATGATATGGTATACTTCTCCTTTGCGTTTGGATGTGGGGAGATATGCTGGGGAGAGCTTCAGAGAGTGGTGTGCTGCTGTGCGTGAGTTGCATAAGGATGCAAATTGGTGGTGTATATTTTGGTGTATTTGTGTCGGGTGATCGGGTGCGCCATAGTAGGTGGGTTTTTTTTTATAGAAAGCGAATTGTTTTGAGTGATGTTATTTGCAAATCAGTTGGTTTAATTGGTGGGGGAATTTGTGCTGGCGAAGAGGTTGGTAACTTAAGCCCTCCATCTCCTATCCTTGAAGCTAGGTGGAAGCCTCCTTTGAGGGGTATAATAAAAGTCAATTCAGATGCTGCTGTGTTCTCGCCTAGTGGTGTGGGTTTGGGGGGGTGTGATGAGAGATGAAATCGGATATGGTGGCCTCTACGTGTTTGCGAATGGAAGGGTGTTTTCGACGCTGATGTTGCGGAGGCCCTTGCTTTGCGCCATGCTTTGAACATTACAATTGAAGCGGGCTTTCGGAAGGTGTGTTTAGAAACCGATGATTGCTTAAAGCTCCATAATCATTTGGTGAAGGGGGTAGTGCATCCGACGGCTTTTGGGATGGTGGTTAAGGACATTTTGCAACTCACTCTGCTTTGTCAGGATGTATCTTACTCCTTTGTGAAGAGAAGTGGCAATGGTGTTGCCCATGGGCTTGCCAAGTTATGTAATCGATTTAGTGATCTTAGAGTTTGGCTTGAGGAATTTCCAAATGATGTTTCTGCTTTGGTTTTGGCTAGCTGATTTAAGCCTTCTTGTTTAATTAATAAAATGCTCTTGCTTACCGTCAAAAAAAAAAAAAAAACTTAGCCATATTGTTTTTTATAATTAAATATAATGTTAATTAAAGAATAGTTATTGAAAGTTACCGTGCATAGCTCGGAACCTAACCTAGTAATTACTAGAAATGAGTCAGTTTCCAAAAAATAACCTTAGTATATGAAATATCTCGTGTGTCACAATTGTCAATTCAAGAAAATTTCTTAGTTAAGATTTTGGAGTCATTTTGGCTCTTAATAGTCAAATATAAGGTAAAAATTGACAAAATAAAAAATACCGAAAACACTTTAGTATTGAAACTTGGAGGACTTCTAAGAAGATTACTACAAACTTTTAAATAAAGACCTGGTTTACATTGTGGACTTGAGGAATATACACAACAATTGATGTTATGTAAACAGGTCCACACAAGATTATTCGGCAAATTACAAGTATGTAATTTATTAAAATAATATCTTAACATAAATTATACCAAATGTATTATAATCCCAATAATATCAATATGGAAAACACATTGTTATGAATTAATTCAGATCAGATTAGATCAAATCAGATAAGTTCAGATAAGTAAATATAAGGTAAACTTAAGACTGTTCTGATTTACTGAACTAGATTAAACTAAAATGAATACTCTGAAATTATAATCGAAACTGAAGAGAACATCCCTAAACTAGTCCGCAAACCGCACAGATAAGTACGAGGAGGCGAGGAGCTAACAAACAGAAACAGCAGAACAATAGTAGAAACCAAAAAAATGGAACCAAAGCAAACAACAATACCCAAAGCTCGCAAGAAGCAGCCATGGCAGAACAACCCCAACATCATCACCCTCTTCTCCATAACTCTAGCTTCCCTCAAAACCCCATTAAACCCTTTATCCAAACCCTTAATCCTCAATTCCTCAAACAAACTCCTCCGTTTTCTACACCCCAATTCACCCTTTACCTCAAATTCACCCCTTCTCAATCCAATTCTCTCTCTTCTACCTCTCATGCTCCACTCAAGTGACGAAGAAATCATACGCACGGCCGTGAAGATTGTTGGGGCGGTATCACTTGTTTCGATTGAGGCCAATGAGAGGGTTGCTGGGGATTCAGGGATTGTAAAGGGTTTGGTGTTGAATATTTTGAGGTTTGAAATGATGGAAACTAAGAAACTTGTTTGTAATGCGATTTTGGATCTTTCTATCACTTCTTTGGGGTGTCAAAGATTGTTGGATGTTTCTGGTTTGAATTATATTATGTAAGTGTCTCCTCCTTTTTTAAATTTCTGTTGCTGTTTTTATTGTTTTTTGATTTAATTTGGTTTATTTGGATGTTAATATGTATTGCACATTATATTATTGAACCACATACATTTATGAGTCAATAATAAGGATTTTTTCAGTGTTGGTTATTGTGGTATAAGTACTAAAACAGAAATTTATCTAGCTAAGGGTTTGAGTTTTGACATTCAAATATGATAGAAAATTTTGTGAGCTGATGTTTCAAATAGTGCATAAATTTCGGGAGCCAAGGTTTAAATATTGTACTCTAGTAAGTAGTAACAAACTAACAGAACTGTGAGCCTGTGAATGAGTGCTCCTTCGTGTCATGTAGTCGTGGTCTATTGTATGGCTGTTGAAGCTGAGATCATATGCAATGGGGAATGTGGTGGGAATCGGCTTTTAAATTTTGCTAATAAGATGTCATGGCTGCATCTTATTGCTCATCTAGCATGACTTCATGACCACCAATTTGTAATGTGCTTTTGAAGATAGAAGCAAGCTGGCTATAAACCATATTTTCACTTGAGAACCATCCGAAATATTTAGGCTCTTACATTAGCCTTAGTATGTGCCTATGTGGCTTCTTTTACACTTTGTTCGGATAGCATTATCATAGAGAGAAAGGGAGGAAAGGGAAGGAGAAGGAAGGGGAGGGAAGAAGTGAGCTTATAAATAATAATGTCCTTCCAAAATTTTCCCAAACTTACATACTGTACAAGGGATAATTAGTCCCTCGTTTTCTCATCCCTTTCATTTCCCTCTGAATTGCCAATTTGGACACACTGTAATTGTATTTGTTTGGTGTGGTATTGCTTTGTCATCATGTCAAAAATTCGTGTTGGCTATTGATATTCTCTAGCAAAGATCCTTTGAACCAAGCTAGCGGGTTTGGTTAATTTTTCCTCCTGTTTTGTAATAATTGAAATTATCCTTTATGTACAAATCATCCCAAATAAAGGAACTACATGACTGTCTCAAATAAAAAAAAAAAAAAAAAAGAGGAACTTTATGGCTTAAAATTGCAAAATATTTGATAGCTGAGAAAACAACATTGATTCAATTGACAAGAATATGCAGACATTTGAGATATATAATATTTCTGATCTTTCACAATCATGTAACCAATTGTTTCCTGGGTGGATTGTTTATAAAGCCTTCAGGTATTCATGTGCTTTTTAAATTTTCTGTCACTCTTTTTCTTATGGAATCCACTTTTTACTCGTACTTAAAATTATGTATGCCAATATTTATGATATGGTATAATATGTTTTAGGCTTGGGTTCCTTCAGGTTCAAAAATCCCTGGTGTCTTCCCTGTATATAAATCTCGTCGAAAACGAGGGTAATTTTTTCCTAGGAGTTAAACATAAACAAGAAAAAATTCCATTGCTACTACTCAATGCTGCTGCTACTCTTATCAACTTCTGCCACCCCGAACAGCTCAAAAGCATTCCAAGGAAGCTAAAAGAAGCAACTTTTCCTTATTTGGGAGAAATATGGTCTAAAGTACGTGCAAAATTGCTAGCTTCTGAAATTCTGAATGTCTCTAAAGTAAAATGCTGCTACAAGAGCAACCTTACAGCTAAGAGCTTGGCAGAAAGCATTTTTAGGCTGTCAATGGATGCCCTTTCTGTTATAAACTCCATGCCTTCAGAAGTTGTCATGGGACACATATTTGGGCCTTCGTCAACGAGTTTTACAAACTTCATGTTGGAGCACTGGGAATCATCACCTTTTCTGATTAGGAATCAACCAAAATATCCGGAGGCACCACATGCCATTTTCAGCTCATTTATGCATTCACTTACATCTGAAGAAGAATTGCCTAAATGTCTTTCTTCTATCCTACGAGGAATGGTTTCCTGTCCTCCTGTAGCTTTAAACGAAATAGACTGCTTGAGTTTACTTAATGATGTAAGGGACACACTTGGTTCCCCAATAATATATCAGCAGGACATACGTGTGGTAAAGACTAGCATGCATTCTAAACTTGAGGAGCATTACTTTCAGGAATATTTAAGAAATGGCATTGAAGGTCCCAGGGCTTTCTCTGCAGAGGACATCTTAAAGTGTGAGGGAGCATACAGGAAGGGTTATACTACAGCTGTACGTGGTATGGAGTTCCGCAATAGTGATATTGCTGCAGTCACACGAGAAATTGCTTCTATGTTTGGTCAACCATCAGTAGGTGCTAATTTATATGTTACACCACCTAATTCTCAAGGTTTATCCTGCCATTATGATGATCATTGTGTCTTTGTCTGTCAACTTTATGGAGTTAAGCAGTGGACAGTCTATCCAAAACCAATTATCGAATTACCTCGACTATATGAGTGTCTTGAGGTTCCTCAGGAGTTACTGGTGCAAAGCAGACAAATTTTGCTTGATGAAGGTGATGTCCTTTATCTTCCAAGGGGTTTTGCTCATGAAGCATGTACAGTTGCAGATCTCGGTGAAAGCAGCAAGGTTTATGAGTCCTCTGTACATCTTACTCTTGCGATTGAGGTTGAGCCTCCTTTTGAGTAAGTCACTGAACCTCCTTCTGACAATGTAGAACTTGATTATTGCTGATTTTACATTATCTCTATAAACAATGGTCAATGGTTTATCTTGTGTGAGTGTAACAAATTAGTATTCTATTAAAATCAAAGGCCTATATGATGATTGCTTTGACTACAGTTTAAGAAACTGTATTTTGAATAAGTGCTGTGCAATTACTTTACAGCATAATTATTTTGAGGTGAATTTTGCTTTTAGATATTGGAGCCAGGGATCTACAACAATTTTATTCAATTAATGCTGGTTTTTCTACATTAAACTTCAATATAAGGTATTGAGAGCATAAGTCTAGTGTGAGTTAAGGGGGGCCAATATGAAGGCTCTAAATCTATGTGATGATTAAATGATTTGTTCACTGTTTGTGGTGTTCTCTGGGGACTCATTTTGGTGTTGATAACTTGCACATATGGTGATGGTAGCAATGCGAGAGCCGTCCAGAGACTTTCCTCTAATATTTAATGAACCAGCCATAGGATGTGCATAATCTTAATCAGAAATGCAAAATGAATCAGTTAGGAAGCATGAGAAAAAAAAAGAGGCTGGAATCAAGTTATAGGGAAAGGGGAATTCAGAAGTCTGTATAAATAGAGGAAGTTAGGAAGAGAAGAATCATGAGAAGTTTATTTTAGCTTAATTTATTAAGCTTTGAGAGAGCGTCCAGTCTCTCAAATATTTTACATTTATCTTCAATTTCCTGTGATACTCACCATTTTCATCTCTGTCATTTTCTTCAATTTGCTGATGCATAACATGATACCAATTGACCTTGGGTAGCTTCTTCCAAGCAGCTCTGGATTCCCTTGCGCGTTGTCTTAAAAGTGATAAAAATCAATATTAGGTAAATTCCCTTGAGCTGAAATGATTCGGAAGCAAGGAAGTACTAAAGGTTACACAATTTGTTACATGTCTGGTTTAATTAAGGGTTAATTGAAGTAAAAAATAGGTACCAAGCCACAAATGACACTTACTAAGCCATATTCAACGTCATAGATTGACTATGTCAATTTTCTCCATGTTGCTGCAAAAGAAATCAGTGCCAAGGGCAATCTGAGATTAAGATTTTGGCTGACTCTGTTCCCTAGCAAGCTAGCACTACCCTCTTAAATCAGCTTGAGAAGTGAATTTACACTGTCTACAGTCCGGAAACCATAGTTAATTGAATCATACATTGGTGCATGTCCTGTACTTTGGGTGATGGGCTTTGTAGTGTGGGGCCAAATGTGCTTGGAATATCTGTCATAGAACTCGTCAATTAGCCTTCCAATTGAGTGCTAAAGCATGTTGCACTTGTCATTGCAGCAGAACTGAAATCTATTTATCGACCTTGCCTAGGATCTTCTAGTTCTCTAGTTGCTTTAATAATTTTAGCATATTATTGTCTAAGTAGACTTGGTTATTGGGTAGGGTAGCCCAATGATAATAGTGTCAGGCTAAGCTTAAAGGACTTTTAATGGATAGGACCTTTATTGGGTAGGGTCAATATAAGGCCAAATTGTTTTTTCCAATTTAATAAGAAAATAGATAACATAAAAATAATTACATAGATAAATTCGTATTCATTTATACTTAATAATGACTTTGTCCATAAATTATTTTAATTGACATTTTGTTGGACCGCCCATTATCAACCCGCAACCCAATCTGCAAATGAACCTCACCGACCCTAACCCGACCTGCCCAATAACCAGAGCTTGCTTTAGTAGTAAATAGTGCAGTTTTGCAAAGTACAGCTGCTTCACTACCTAGCTTGGTTCCTACTCCATGCTTATAGGGTTTGAGGATGCTAATAGGTGCACAATCTTATCCTCACAAGTACAAATGCAATCTGCAATGAACTATTACAGAACTACCTGTTTAGTGTTGAAGAGAAAATTAAAAGATAATAAAAAAAAATAAAAATAAAAAATAACTTCTTTTCCTTAAATAAATATGCTTAGAAAGATTTTTTATTTTTTACTTTTTTTAAAAGCCAAGCAAGGTGTAATGGACTAAGGCCGATTTCACTTAACGATGCTCATTATTAACAGAAGGATTGCTTCTTCATTAACTAAACGATTAAGGGATACAAGTAGTAGCTTGAGGCTACAAATCTCCTATCAACTTGAGGTTGCAACTCTCCAAGTTTTCCTTAACAATTTTCTGCCTGCCTTTTCCTTACCCATACTACTTATACTAAGATGGTCAAGGATGACCTTAAGGCTTAACATGTGAAACTTAGCTAATATAGAAAAACATAAATAAACATCCTAGAACCAAGGTTGCTTTCTTTCCTTCTCCTCTTCTTAATTGATTTTGTCCCTTGCTCTTTGTGGTTTGTGTTGTTGATACCCTTGTTTGACTCTTCTAGCGTAGACCCGTATAGGTTGTGGCTGAACCCCCCCCCCCCCCCACCCTAAAGCCGGTCTATTACAATGTAATAGACCGGCTTTAGGGGGGGGGGTCATCTTAGTATAACTAGTATGGGTATTGTTAGTAGAAAAGGCAGGCAGAAAATTGGTAAGGAAAACTTAGAGAGTTGCAACCTCAAGTTGCTAGGAGATTTGTAGCCTCAAGCTACTACTTGTATCCCTTAATCGTTTAGTTAATGAAGAAGCAGTCCTTCTATTAATAATGAGCATTGTTGAGTGAAATCGGCCTGAGTCCATTACACAAGGTTTGGTCTGTGACTTTGGTCATGAGATCCAAATCCACTAGTAATGATTGACTGGATTTACCTATGTGAGGGTGATTGTTCAATAGGATCCTTCTTCCTTACCTTCTAAATAAAAACCCTCTTGTTTGTCATTTAACATAATGATAAAAAAAAAAAAGAATCTTTAACTCCTTTTCCAAAGTTTTTAAAACTGTCAATCTTTTTTATATAATCTATTTTATATTCATAGAAGTACTACAATGATTCTAGTGCGATGGTGATGGGAATCGAGATAGGGGTCGTTCTTGGTAGAAAATATCTTTGTTAGATTTATCCTAAGACATGTGCCAAAAGACTATAACTTGATAACTTTTAGAAAGACAAATGATTAAAAGTGATTACAAAATAGTTTGATTTCCCACAAAAAATAAAAGTGAAATGTTTACTTTTTTCAATGTCAGAGATGCAATTAATACGAAGTGGAAATAATGCTAATGATGCATTATATTATGTCAAATCAAAACTATGTAATTGATAAACAATTACACAAAATTTGCAAAAAGAGGCCCTCTGCCTAGGATCACTAAGTGAGCCCTAGAAGGTCTCTAAATCGCATCAATGTCTTCTTTTTTAGCCATAAGTGTATGATAAACATCCCAATTCTTCTACAGTGTCCCCATTCCATTTGTAATCATTTGTTATGATCTTTCTATGCTATGAAGATCCTTTGTTATGATCTTACTATTTTAGTTTCTTCCCTAATGTATTAAACCAACTGCATTTCTGGTGTTAACTTGTAGAGCTATAACCGCCAGTGGAAGTTACTTCATTTCATATCTGATTAATTCGTTGTTCGTCCTGATTTTTTGTGTCTATAGATCTAACTTCTTGTCCTCGTTTTGAGATTAATATGAGAGTATCTTATTCAGCTATTCATGCAGTATAGAGTATATACACAGTTATTGGTCAATATCTTTAACCTCAAACAATGTTGATTTTATAACCACATGTTTAGTTTTGAGTCCAATTCTAATCATCCTGTTGCAAAACCCAAATGAGATGCTCCACCATTTCAAGGCAGCAGGTCCTGCACTCATGCAATCTTTTATCTTTTTGTTTTTGCTATATTACATCATGGATATCATTCTCAGCGTTCATTCATTGAATTCATTAACATTCTTGTCTTCTATTGGGTATGAAATTCTTCTGGTTTAGATCAAACCACCAAATATCCATCTTAAATTAGTGTTAACAAGTTTACTGATTGCCTTTTCGGCTACTCAATTTTGATGATATCAGGTGGGAAGGATTTGCCCATATTGCACTTTATCTGTGGAGCCGAAAAACAGGGTCTGATACTTTTGCTCATGATACTTCTGGCATGCTATCTATTTCTGTGTATATCTTGCATATCGCAATGAGGCTTCTTAGCAGTACTGAGCCCATATTTCGAAAAGCTTGTTTGGCTGCTGCTAGTTCTTTGCCTATCGACACTATAGAATGGCATGAAAAGAACCAGAGAGCCACTTTCAAATTAGCAAGTGATAAAATCAATGAGCTATGCAGCTTCACAGATTCTCTCGAATATCTGCAAAAGGCAGTTGAAAGAGATGATGATCCTTTTCATTGGCTTAGATGGCTTGAGCTTCTCAATGGGAGAGACGTATATGTTCAGAATTTTTGTAACTTTAATTCAGATCGAGTTTGTAACATTTTATCATTTATTAATCAACACAAGGATGATGCTGAAGCTGCATTTGCCCATGTTAAGTCAAACTTTTGTAGTGAAGATCTCTTTGACGATGCAAAAGAGAGCTTTAAGACTTTGCATGCCTTGTACAAGGAGGCCCGGATGCGATATATGAATGGAATGCTTTCCTTACATCATTAATTAACCATATTACTTAACAAACCATTTTTTTTTTCGAATTTTGGTTTCACCACTACCTGTTAGACTGATGTGTATCTCTATTTATGATTACTATCTTCTCTAAAAGCTCTGATCAACAAAGCTTTATTCTGATTTTGGTAACTTACCCTTTTCAATATAAACTTGGCTATGAGCACTGATATTTTGCAGAAGGATTCATTTTCTTACACTGCTATTGTGCTTGCTTTGTTGCTAAGATTTCAGACTTGCATAAGGTGTTGAATACAGAAGAAGTGACATGATTGAGGCTTTTGAGGTATGCAATGATCTGTAATTTTTTACATAAAGAATAGGCTAATATTGTTCAATGTAAAAAGAAAATCTTAATAACAGCATTGATTATCTATATCATGTTACATGTATTCAATATAGTTGATGACAACCTGATGACTGTTCTATGGTTTTCCATGTTTAGGATTTGGACCAGGATGGGTCGTCACGCCATGATAATCTATATGATAGACTAATTCTTCTTCACCATCATCATTGGCGTGGCCATTCTTCAGGGGCTCTTCTCTTCTGTATGCTTCTTGGTGAGGTGAGTGCTTCGTTGCATCCAAAACCTGCATGTTTATTATGATGCCGATACTTTATACTGTCTTGTGAATGATAGTATGATATGAACTTGATGATGGTATATAAAATGTGACAATTATTCATAAGCTCACCTTGACTGCTCTTGACTCATGTTGAGTCAGATGTCTGCTCAAAGCTCTCCTTGATGCTAGTCCTTGTAGATCGTTTGTAGGAGACGCTACAGAAAATAGAGGCGATGAGGATAGGCTTGTGTATTTGGCGAATAAACAGAAAGTTGTAATAATAATGATGAAGTATAGAATTATGCCAGAATGTTTCATTCTGATAGATGGGTGGGTGGCTATGAGTTGAAATTAAAAGAATCGGATAGAATACCTTATAAAGAGGTGTCCGTTATTCAATTCTATTTGCCTCCTTCCTTCTCTCTACCCCCCTTTATGTATGTCTACAAGTTTGAGTAGAAATTATTAGATAGCTTAGGACCACCACATTAATCATGGTTTCAACTATATATAAATTTGACATGCATTAGTTTTCACTGTCTATCATAGATTTGCTTATGTGGTAATCTATTGAATTGACGTGCAATTTGTTATTGATCTATCTAGTGGTTGAGGAGACGGAAAATCAGGCGAGGATTAGGTTGAACTAGGGGTGATAAAAAGAGCCTCACCCTAGAAGTCAGCCTGAACTCGGGCTCGGAAAGCCCGACCCTGAAACCCGTGAGGTGAATGATAGAAAATTACAAGGACGGACCATTGAAAAGTGTCAGAAGGCAGATCACTTTCAAATCTTTGACGAGTCTAGTGGGTGGTGCATGATTAGAAATTTGGAGGTATATTGAGAAAGTGGGGCTTAATAGTAATAGAGCCATTATTTGGTAAGTAGACGTGTATGGTGATCATATATTGGACACTATTTTTCATTACATTAAAAGTCTCACATGGTGGGAGACTATCTGTCTATTCTCAATCTGTTAAAGACCAGAGATTTGTTGTTTTTGCAATTTGCATGATATAAGCTGGATTGGGGCTCTTTGTTGCATCATTCATTTTAGATTTGGTAACTGTGAACTTGATTCTTTACATCATTGATAAATTATTGAATTCTCACCAACTTTGAACTTCACTACTTCAAGCTAATTTCATCACAGTATTCACTACTGCTTAGTAGTTTGTGTTTGGAAGTTGGATGCTTATGTTTAGAGTTGTGCATGGGCCAAGTTGACATAAGGTTATGCCTGACATGAAAATGGGCCAACTCGACACGTTTCACAACCACACGACATAGGAGGCACGCCAATGAGCCATGTGCAATTAGTCTAAGGTGCACCCTTATGCACCTTAGATAAGTGTAACAACGCAGCTCAAAAGTCCAATTACACACAACCCAATTAAAAAAAACCTTAAAATTAAAAAACACGGAAACTAAAATACACCCACCCACACCCAATACATGTAACGTCACCTCCAAGCTCAAAACTCTTCTTCTATATATGATTTTCTCTCTCCTCTTTTTCACTTTCTCTCTTCTCTATTTCATTTTCTCTCACTAAAAAACTGCAAAAACATCAATGGATATTAGAGAAGAAATGCAAAATCAAAAGGATACTCCCTAAAAAAAAGCAATTTTATGTAAATTTCACTTAATGTTGTTTGAATTTATATGATTATCACTAAATTTTGTTTGAATATTGTTCGATACTCTATTGTTCGAAATTTTTTATTGGAATTTTCAAAAAAAAAAAATAGTGAAATCTAACGGATACCTTACGTTCACATTCCGAAATGAATATGTTCATATTTTGAATTCTTATGTTCATATTTTGAATCCTTTTGTAAACTTTCTGAAATGCTTATATTCACTTTCTAAATCCATATGTTCATATTTTTTTTTATCTATATGTTCACCTTCTGAAATGCTTAATTATGTTCATACGCATTAAAAAATGAACCAATGCATATGTTCATATTTTGAATGCATATGTTCATATTTTTAATACTTATGATGCATATGTTTCATAATAATATTATTTTTTATTTCTTCAATTTTTTATGTTCATAATTAAATGTCTTATATTCATAATAATATTTTATATGTTCAAAATGTAAATATTCATAGTAAATATTTGTTGTTCATAAATATTCTCATTATGTCTGTATGCATATGTTCTCTTTCTGAAATGCATATGTTCATATTTTTTTACGCATATGTTTACCTTTTAAATGGTTATATTCACTTTAAGAAAACCAATGCTTACGTTCATATTTTATATTGTTATGTTTATTTTCTGAAATGCATATGTTCATATGTTTTATGCCTATGTTCACTTTCTGAAAAGCTAAGGTTCACATTTAAGGGAACTTATGCATATGTTCATATTTTGCATGATTATGTTCATTGATAAAAAAAAAATGCAGAAAATCAGATGAAATTCATACACAAATGAAATTGATCAAAGCTAAAAAATTCAATTCATATGAATTCAAAAAACACAAACTTTAAAAAAAATCGGGTGTACAATAATTATTGTACATCCACTACAAAGATAGACTAATTTGATCAAAAGTTACCCCTAAAATAAATAAAAGTTACCCTAATATGCATAAAAGTAATCCAATACAAATAAAAATTATTAATAAAGAATCACATTTTAAATGACTAAAAATCAATTATTAGTGATTGAATATAATTAAATTACCATTATAAAACTTTTCTTATTGTCTATATATATAAAAATTGTATTATGTTTAAAGTTACCCAAAAAAGGCAGAAAGTTACCCTTAAATTAGGTAAAAGTTACCCTTATACTGCTCGATGTACAATAATATTAGTGTAAAGCGGGTGTATACAAAAGTTTTTGTTCAAAAAATCAAATAAACAACCAATTCCATACTGTAAGAAACAAATTCAATCGTTAAATCGAAAAAACGAGAAAAATAGAAAGAATAAAAATAGAGGAAAAAGGAATTAAAGAAGGAAGGAGAAAAAGCAGAGTATAATTTGTGAATTCAAAGATTCATATGAACCTTAATTAATCGAAAATAAAGCATAAAATCGAAATTCACACAAAAATTCATAGTTATAAACTACTTTCATGTTGTAAGAAACAAATTCAATCAATAAAGTTTAAAAAAGTAAGGGGAAAATTAAAAAAACAAAGGAGAGAGAAAATAAAAAAACGAAGGAGAAAAATAGAGGAGAAGAAAGCTAATGTTCATATTGCACTGTTGTTACACCTATTTCTAGGTGCATGAGTGTGCACCTAAGAATATGCGGAGCCCTGTGTGCACAAAAATCAATTTTCAAAAATTTGGCACAGACACAAGCCCGTATTGAGCATGGTGGGCTGACCTGCATATTTTTGACCAATTTACCAAAATCTAAAAAATTATTAAGGGCCCGTTGATACAAAACATACTGGAATGACATGACATGTGAGTTGAGTCGTGCACAAGTTTCGTTTATGAAAGATCAACACAAGCATAACCCAATATGGCTTTATCTTGGCTTATACCAAACACAACTCGTTTGGTCACGAGGTATATTGATACGACACAACACGAGGGCTTACACGGCTTAGCATGATCCTAGCTTTACCTTCGGTCTTACTATGCAAGGTTTGTATTATTTCCCCCACCCTAATAGATTTGGATCAGTTTGGTTTGGGTCATCTTTGGTCTTCTTGGGTTGATGAAGGCTTCAAAAAAAGTTACTCGTATGTGATAGGTGCTGTGTCGACTAAGCTCTTGGCCTCTTGGGTAATATTCCCAATGGATGATGACGGATGAGCCAGCCGGTTGTGACCTGCTCGTATTTGGGTCTATGTTCAGTCTATTATGAGAAAAGAGATTAATTGTAGTTGTAGTAATTTAAGGTTCAAGCTGATTTAGGTATTATGGGGCTGTGTAGTTTTTGGTGCAGTTTAAGTGTAATCCAATTTGATGTTGAGCCGAGCTGATATTTGGCAATATCATATCCAGTTGGTCTGCCCATGGTTAAGGCTGGCAGTATGGACCAACCCATCATGTGTTTATTTTGGTGATTTTTCCAGCGTTTTGTAGCTTGGCTTCTCTACTTGTAAAGTGATTGACCTGATTGTTCTACCGAACCTCTGTATATTATAAGGTTGTATTTGACGTAAGCCTCAAGGTCATTAACTCATTGTATAGTCCATGATATGATTGAACTGGAAAATTTTGTTAAAATAATTCCACTTTAATAAAAATAAGTTAATTTTAGCAAAAAAATCAATTCAGTTCGTAAAAATAAATTAAACTAATACAGCGTTATAATAATAATGATACTTCGTAATAATTTTCATTTCACTTTAAGTCATTCAACTCAACTTAGCACTTTCGAAACATCACTCAATTTTGATCAAATGACTGTGATTTTTAGAGTGCGGATAATCCCTCACCTCTCTTGCAAAACCCGATTTTTTTATCGAGTTCACAACCCTCACAAGCAGGGATGGCTGCCGCGCACCTCACCTAGCCGCTTTTGGATTGTGGAGCCCCCTGCCGCATCACTCCTCAGCTGATACTGCCTCCCCAGCTTGCAAGACAGCTCCTCACTGTCCTGAGCGTGTTGCCGCAAAAATTCCAGCGTGCCAGGTAGCTTCCTCCACCCTGGGGCAGCTTCCGGTGGTATTCAGGCAGCCTTACTCGACCCCAGCAAGGCAGCAACACAATCAGTTGCACATAGTCTACTCCTCCCTCACCTTACACTTGCACACCGCCCCTACTTTGAGGCCAACCACCTATACACCAACTAGACCTCTACCTTCATCGCCATAAATGCAAACCGCTCAAAGCATGGTATCTTTAAACCGAACCCAAAATTTGGTTTAGCTGTCAGCCTGTCACTACCCCCGGTCAATACTTTTATCGTTCCCCGCTTCATAGAAATAACAAATAAGCTTTATCAGATCCCAATTGGAATCTCGCGATGCGTGATGAATATAATGCTTTAATTGAAATTAGGACTTGTGAATTGGTGTCTAGGCCAACGAGGGTAAATATTGCTAGTTGCATGTGGTTATTTCGTCATAAATTGAATGTTAACGGTGATCTAGAACAACACAAAGCTCGTCTTGTTTGTGATGGAAAATCTTTGAAGGTGTTGATTGTGATGAAACATTCTGATTGTTAAACCGACTACCATTTGCACGGTATTGAATTTGGCTATGACTCGTAAGTGGTCTATTCACCAACTTGATGTTAAAAAAGCTTTTTACATGGTGACTTGAATGAGTGTGTGTATATGCATTAACCCCCAGTCGGGTTTGTTGACAAGAGGTTCCCAGGCTATGTTTGCAAGCTCCATAAGTCTCTCTATTGTCTAAAACAAGCTTGAAGGACTTGGTCGTATTAGTGGTTTGCTAAGAGTTACACTTCTTTACTCATTTTCCGGCATGGGAATGATATGGCATATACTATTATATGTTGATGATATTGTGTTGGTTACATCCTCAGATCTGTTACATGAACGCATCATCTCTCACTTACGTACAAGATTTCCAATGACTGATTTAGGTCATCTGAATTTGTGGCCATTGGTGTTACTCGTACTCCATCATATTTGTTTATGTCTCATCATAATTATGCATTGGAAATTTAAGAGCGCACAGGTATGGCTAGTTGTAAACCTACGACAACCCCTGTGGATACTCAATCCAAGTTTAGTGCACAGACAAGGCCTAAATTTCATAACCCAACACTTTATCGTAGTCTTGCAGGTTCATTACAGTACCTTACTTTTACTCATGTTCAGCAAGTTTGTTTATTCATGCATGACCATAGAGAGGGTCATTATGATGCATTGAAATGCACCCTGCATTACATTTAGGGCTCCATTGATCACAGGTTACATTTATATCCTTCATCACTTATGAATTTGATCACATATACCAATGCAAATTTGGGCGGGTGTCCAAACACTCGTCGTTCGATTTTAGGATAGTGTTGTTTTCTAGGGTACAATCTTATTTCTTGGTCTTCTAAGCATCAGGCTACTCTTTCTATATCAAGTACTGAGGCAGAATACAGGATGTCACGAATGTTGTTGTCGAGGCTTACTGGCTTCATAATCTTCTTTAGAGCAGGCTGCTATTATTTATTATGATGATGTAAGTGCAATTTATTTATCTCATAATCTTGTAAAGCACCAACGTATCAAGCACGTCGAAATGGATATTCATTTCGATTAAGAAAGGTGGCGTTGGGGCAAGTATGGGTCCTGCACGTTCCAACTCGATATCAGTTTGCAGACATCTTCACGAAAGGCCTACCTTGACAACTGTTCTTGGATTTCAGATCAAGTCTTAGCATTCATCGTCCTCCCGTTATGATTGCAGGGGTGTGATAGAGTATATGATAAATATTCTAGATATTATGTAATAGAAGGATATACTTTTGTGAATATTCTATAAATATCTTCTGAGACTTCTTAACGTGATTAGGAGTATCTTTGTAACCATATATATATGAATAAATGGAATACACTCCAATTTGAGGAGGTTTATAAAATCTTACAAGTAATGTAATTATCATATACTCATTAACTCATCTTTATCATTGGTATTTGCAAGTGGTACTACATTGCGGTAGTAGTTTTTATTCATAAAGGGTACAACTAACAATATCCAAAAAATTCTTAAACATGAAACTACAAAATTAAAAAATATACTAAGCATGAAACAAGAAAAACCTTCTCATGTGAGAAGTAAAAACTTGTAGGCAAACTCTAAATATGTATAGCAACTACTAATGTCTTGCACTGTGTTTCACAATTCCTGATGACCTCCAGGCTGACCAACAGAACTTGGTTCATCAGCAGGTAGGTCAATACCACGGTTGTACCGAGGCAATATGGGTCGTAAAGAAGGCCAGTTGTTAGGAAGGATTTTCTTGACCCCGCCAATAATGTAGTCATTTGTTGAACCAGGAGCGAAGTTCATGAGTGCATATGAATCTCCTTTAAACAGGTAGGCCTCTTTATGGTTGTAGTGTGAAGAAAATGCTGCATCGAACCCGCTTTCAAAGATGGTGTTTCTCAAACCACCAAAGCCCTGCGATATAGGACGGATGGCAATAAAACGAGGTGTTGAACTAGAACCACCATTATTATAGTTTATAAGAGCATATTGATCACCTTTAAAGAGATAAGCTTCATATTTAGTTGAGGACTCAAATGCAGCATCTACCCCGTTTTCGAAGACCGTCTTTCTAAAGAACGAGAACATCCTAGTGATAATCATAGGACCATCAATTATATAGTCGTCTGTAGTGCCCGGAGCAAAGTTTATCCGGGCACAGAATATTCCGGAGAAGATGAAAGACTCATTGTGATTATGAGACCCAAAAGCACAGTCTATTCCATACTCTGCAAAGGGGGTACCCTTTAGTGAAGGGAACCCGTCGCGTATAAGAAGCGGTCCATTAACTACTCTGTCATTTGTTGACCCAGGTGCATAGTTCAGTAGCAAATACTCATTCTTCATGAATAGGTATGCTTCATTTTTCCGCGAGGAACGAAATGCAGCATCTACATAACTCTCTAAGTTACCCACCCCATCCATGTACCAATCTATGAGGGAGGTGGTTCTTAGATCCCTCTTTTGAAAGGAAGTGGTGTTATAGGGGCCATCGTTTGGATGATATCTGCTAATGCTTAGACTTCGCCTTGTGCCATTTTCATCTATATAATAACTTATTGGCCTTTGAATGCTGATCTGCCTTTCCGGATGGAATTGTGGGCTGAAATTCGAGTTTATGATTAATACATTGTCCACTCTTTCTCGTCTTGTATACCTGGATCGAATTATAAAAGTTTCGTAAATATTTTTGGGTATACTTGTTATGAGATGTAGAATACTATAATGTGTATATATCTTCTCCCTCTGTTCAATTTATTCTGATTTATTTAAAGAATTTTAGTTCAAACAAAGTTAATTGTGCTTCCTCAATTCACTAATATTTGAACCATTAATCACTTATTTTATCATGAATGCTAGGTTAGAACCCGTGCGATTAGGGGTGTCAATCGGGTTTTGGGTTCGGTTTATCGGTTTTTGGTTTGCAACGGGTCGTTTTTAACGGGTTGGAATTATTATCGGGTCAGTTCGGGTCGGTTTTAAATAATTTCGGGTCGTATCGGTTTGGTTTATTTTTATCACAGTTTCTTTTCGGGTCGGATTCTAATCGGGTCGGGTTATAATTCGTCCGGGTCATAATCGGTTCGGGTTAAATTATGTCGGTTTAAAAACGGGGTTTATCAATTTAAATCGGGTTTTGGGTCAAAACATATCGGGTCCTAATCGGGTCGGGTTTTAATCGGTTCAGGTCATAATCGATTCGAGTTGAACTCAATCGGTTTGACAACTTATTTTGCCAGTTTTAAATGGGTTTCATTAACGTATATCTTCTACTATACCCTCTGCATTCTTTAATTATTTATTCTAGTAGATCATATGGAGGATTAATTAGTTGTTTAGCTTTATGTCCCTTTTTTGTATAATGATTTTCAAGATCAAATGATATTAACAAATCTAGATTTACTTTTTGATTCAGATTTTTTTAATACAATTTAGTGTTCCACAAGCCATTACTCGTAAAAGGACGATAATATTTTATCATAAGAGTTTCATTGACATCAAAATTCCAAACCTATTCAATATACTACCTCCGTTACACATTATTTGCAACGATTAGACATTTTTCCTCTCTACTTTATGTCAAATCGTTGCAAATAATGTGTAACGGAGGTAGTAAATACTTTATATTTCAAATTAAACCCTTTTTGTTTTACTATCGATAAAATATACAAAAAAAAAAAAAAAAAAATCCTCTACGGCCATAATTGGTTACGGACTTACAAGCTATAAACGGTTTGATTATTACCGGTTACGGGTTGTAAACTGTTCAGTCATAATTTAGTACGGGTTATAAATGGTTCGGTCCTAACTAGCTACAGGTTGTAAGCGATTTGGGTTTATCGGGTTTTTGTCGGGTTTAAACGGTTTCAGTTTACAATGGGTCGGGTTGCTACCGGGTTCGGAAGTACTCGGTTTCGAGTTGTTCTCGGTTTCGGGTTGTATGAGTTTGGCTTGATAACAGGTACGGTTCATTATCGTTCTCAAACATTCGGATCGGTTCAGTTTCAAGTTTTGAAAAATCGGTTCGGTTTACAGTTTTAAAATAACAAGTTCTTATCGGTTCGGTTCCTTTTCGAAACAGTTCAAAACGGCTCGGATTCACTAGTTCGGGTCGGTTTTTGACATCTCTACGTGCGATACATGATTTATATAAATCTATATTTTTTTAAAGATATAAATCCAATTTTTAATTTGTACATTATAATAATAAATCGCTATTATACATTTATATAAATAAAAATTATGTATATTTTGTAATTTAAAATCTTTTTTTTTAAATTATGATATAGTATCTGTTCGACTTGTCTAATTCATAGTTGAATGTAGTAGGTCATTTATTAGTGTGCTATTTAAAATTGTTTTAATTTCCTACGATAAAATGATAGGTTTTAGTTGTAAGGTAGAAACTTCTAATATTTAAATTACAAAAATGTTCAATATGATAGCTCTACAAAAAAAAAAAAAATGACATCATCATTGCATTTTAGGCGGGAATTTTTTTTATAAAGAGAGCAACCCGTGGGTAGTGATGACAACACCATTTTCTGTTTTAGTAATAGTTAATAGATTTTTAATTATACAATAATAAAATCTACAAAATGATGTATATTGAAATGAGTCAAATGACTATGTGCACAATATTTTTTAAAGATGACATTGGAACGAGGCATGATATATCACAGAGGCAAATCCAATTGATATTCTCTTCGTTCAATTTTTCCTCCAAAATAAACGTATAATAATGTCTTCTTCCTCTACCACCACCAATATTTCCTTCTCTCTCCTCCCCACCCATGGCTATGCCGGTGATGGGCCACCTTGGTGACTATAAATTGGCCAGCCGGCCAAACAAAAGACACCCTAGTTGCAAAGCAAGTAAAGTGGGCCCATATTTAACCTTTAGGGAAAGGAACTTGCTTGTGAAATGGTGTTCATAGCTGTGTAGTGGTGCTAACTCTCATAATGTGATGCGATGGGTGGCTCTAAAGGTCGTGCAGTGGTTGCGCGATAGTGTTTATGGAGATCTGGTGGTTGGGCGGTAATTCCTAGTGGTTGTGCAGTGGTTGCACGGGTGGTGGTTATGGTCGTTATGCGGTGACGGTAAGGTGATGGTAAAAATCGTGACATATTAACGCCAATTAATATGCTACACCTTGGATTAGCTAAAACGGGTTGGTCCAGGCCCTAGATATTTGTTACATTAATGATAAACATGTGGAACAAAATGAACGTTAAGTACTTCATAGATAAACATGATTATCATTATAAAAATAAACTTAAACATTCAATTTATAGGTTCATATATAAACGAGTTATATTCCCAGACGATGCCCCGAATTGGTGATGATAAAATTTTTTTAAAAATAATTTGCTTGAATGTTAAACCGTATCACATAGAGAATACAACCATTACACATAAAAGGCATATGATCTCTTTTATCACATACACAAGTATTTAGAGAGCCACAAGGCAAGTGATGAGAATTATTGATTTAGCATCACCTGGAATCGAGAGGAAAACTTTAACCACTTGAGCTATACATCTTTCACACTCTATAAATTTTCTAATTGACTTACATATATTACAAATGTATCTTGCTTTAAAACATATATTAATACGGATTTTATGATGCAAAAATTACAATTTTATAAGAAAAGTATTGAAAATTATAAATAATAATTTTGTGTATGTGAAAAAATAAAAATTTATCTAAATAAAATTCTAGAATAATGTCTATCCTTCTAAATCTATTTGATATCACTTACCTTACATCTAACATGTCATGTTTATGCTTAATTGTCGTGTATGTGGCTCAATCGCACGACGTATGGCGAGAAATTGGAATATCAAATGTCGATGTCTCATGATAATACAATCAATAACATAATACTAGACTTGATCATGGTGAGACCAATCCGATTTTGGGCGAGTTTTGGGTATAATTTTCCGGGTCGAAATCAAGTTAGGCCCTGCCAATTTTTTTAAAATTTTGGGCAGGCTTGGAAAATCGATTTTATGCAATTGTAATTGGATTTTTTACCGGCTCAAAATTGGCCATAAAAGCCTGCACGACCTAGCTAGTTTGGGCGAGAAATTACACATATAGGAATGGGCTTTACTTTTTCCCTTGGCCTTTCTGGCCCGCCCAATAATCACCTCCACATAATACTAAAATAGACACCAGAATTGACACATGTCATTTCCTGGACCCGTTTATTCCCTCCAAAACTCCTCCTCCCATATTTTAGCAAAACTCTTTTATTATTGGAATATTTGTACAATACAACTATAATAACTTTATTCCTAATCTTATATATTATGTTAATAATTGTATTCCTTTGTATATCATGTTCTATTTACTTACAATAGTTACACAAGATTTTAAGACTATTTTTTGGAAGACCAAAATAAGCCAAAATTTAAAAGGTTGAAATATGGTAGAGAGTATATATAAAATAACGGATCCAAAAATACTATTAACATTTTAATTACATGTATATATATAGTTGTATAATAGTTAGGGTTAAATGAAAAATAAAACATTTATATTCAAGGTGTTGATTTGAATTCTTATGAAGCAATACAATTGAGTTACTTTCTTGTTAAATATATTTCTACAATAATTTATCAAATTATAACTTTTTTTTTTATTTTTCAAGAAATCTATAAAATATCATCAAATCAGATCATATTTACATCGATCATTTCAGACATATGTCAAGTTATCATTATAAAAATTTCTCGCCAATATAATGTATAACGATGACTTTAATAAGTTTTTTAAAGTTATTTTACCTAACTTATTTTCAGGAAGTACATTTTTTTTTGTGGGGGGGGGGGGGGGGAATAATTGCCTAGAATAATCCGACCTTTGCCTCACCCGCCCAAAATAATCTCACCTTTTGATTATTTTTTAATAATCCGACCTTTACATCAAGTCCGCTCAAAATGGTCCAAATCGGTCATGTAATTTGTAATACAAAGTTATTTACCTAACATGTGGCGACTTGTGATTGGTAAAAAACATTATCATTTTTATTAAAGAAAAATAAAAAAGATTAATGTTTTAAAAACAACTCCACCAGCTGCCCAACCATTGTCCCCATTACCTGAGTCCCCTACCCCGCGGCTCTGGCCACCTAACACCCAATGTCGGCTTCGGTGCAATGCCAAACCCCCACCCCTGGCCTTAATCACCTACTTCCCTCCCTCCCCCACTCGCGAAAACCTACCAGACTGTGATTCGAAAATAAAAACACTGGCGACCATATAACCATCTCCAACCCTTGGAAACCCCTTCTCCATCCCGATCCTAGCTCCCTTCCCCTTCTTTTTTTTCCGGCTACCTCCCGTTCCCCACGTCCCGATTTCGGCCCTATCCCCTTCCTATGCCTCGATTTTGACCACACCTTGATTTTGGTATTGCGTGTGGTGGTTTAGTGGTGACGGAAGGGGGTATAGGGCAGAGGGTGAGCTAACATCCGGTCAGTGAGGGAGCTGGGTTCTGGTCATGGTAAGGCTAGTGGCTCAAGGCCCATGATAAGGGTGGGAGATGGCTAGGGTCGCAGTGGGGCTGGGGCTGGTTTTGTTTTTTGTTTTTTTGTTTTTTTTTCAGAAAAAAGTTGAAATACTCCCTTCGTCCCTTAATTGCATCCCTATTTCTAAATTTAAATGGAAATTAAGGAACTTGGAGTAACCTTAAAACCCATGATTCGAAAGTAAAATGGGAATTACAAGACATTTATTGCTGTTTTTGAATAAAACAAAGATATAATGGTATTAAAGCAAGCACATGTCACAGTTCTTTGAAAAGAAAAAGGACTAATCACATTTGTTTATGAAAAATAAAAGGACCAATCATATTCAATTATAGTGTTGCACATGGATTCAAAATGTTATGAGTGAGAAAATATGAGTGAGAAAATTATATTATGGAAACTGTGCAACCATTAATTGCAAAACAGAAAAATAATTAAAGTAATGTCACATCACAACTATTTAGGGATAATTTGGGGATATTTGGTAAAAATTCACTTACTATAAAGGAAAAGTAGGAATGTAATTTTGAAACACCCAAAAAGGAAAGTAGCTAGGAATGTAATTAAGGGACAGAGGGATCGGAGTAGTTAATCACTAATAATCATTTCTTAAGACAAAATTAAAATTCAAACTTATTTTTTGACCAAGCATGTGGTGACACATGTAAATTTAACTTAATTAAAAATAATAATTACCTACTCAACCGGTTACAGGTAACTTGCGAGCATTTTAAGGGGATTGAGTATAAAGGTCGGATTATTAAAAATAAGGTGGGAGTATTTTGGGCGAATGAGGCAAATGTTGGATTATTCTGGACAATTATTCTTTTTTTTTTTATTTTGAATTAAATTAATTCATTAATAAAAAAAAGTCATACGACATATATATTCTATAGTTTTATTGGGAATAACATACATGATCAATGTAATTACTATTTTTAAATAGGAAATTTTGTGAAAAACTACCTATTATAGTCTAGAATTTGAGAGAAACTACCTATTAAAAAAAATGTTGTAATTGACTACCTAATTTTCGAAAAATGTTGTAATTTACTACCTTACGCCGGATTATGAAGGAGTTTGACCAAACTTCTCCGGTATTGCATTGGTCACATGACCATCACGTGACACTTAATGACACTTTTCTTTCACCAAGAGTCACGTGACCAAGTCAACGCCGGAGAATTTTGGTCAAACTCCTTCATTATCTGGCGTAAAGGTAGTAAATTACAACATTTTTCAAAAATTAGGTAGTCAATTACAACATTTTTTTTAATAGGTAGTTTCTCGCAAATTTTGGATTATAATAGGTTGTTTTTTACAAAATTTCCTTTTTAAATATTATCAACACAACTAATCAACAATACTTTTTTCTTTCAATTGTAGTTTTAATAATTTTTCCCTTATCATATCCATTTTCTTGTATGCATTGCATTAGTTTCTTCCAAATAATGAGTTGCCTCATTTTTATGTTATCACAAATTAATTATATGAAAAAAGTTTATTACTATCTTACATCCCACAGACACTAATCTTAATCTAATGTTCATTTAAGATAATGTCGTATTCATATTTAACAAACACAATAATAGTTTAGTGTATTAATGATATCAACAAATTTAAAACTTTAGTAGTTAATTTTAAATAAGTATGTGTTCAAATTCAATGCAATAACAAAGTGTTTTTTTAAAATACTAACCTTGAGCCAGTGTTAATTAAAAGCCTAAAGAGTTGGGCAGATCGGGTGTATTGAGGTGCAATACCGGCAACATAACAAACCTCATCTTGGGAGGGAAACTGGTAACGATCACTAAGAGTTGCAGCAATCCAAATTCCATCAGGTGCGTAGATCTCATACCGCCATGTTTCACTACGCCAAAAATTGGCTTTAATGGCGTTAAAATACCCTTTAACAACGGTTACCCAACCGCCATTCATCTAAACGCTGTTAAAAGGATATGACACTTTTAATGGCGGATGTATAACCGCTATAAAACATTAATCAGAAAAAGTGGGAAAAGTTTTCTATAATGGCGTACTTTTTGTAACCGCCATTAAATAATGCCTTTTGCGCCAAAATTCAAATTTCATTACAACTGCTGTTAAAAGGTTCAAACACCAAAATTATAATAAATATGCTTTGATAAGTAGTACAATTTTTGTAACCGCTATTATAAGTTTGCAACTATTTAAAAAAAATTGAATTACTAAATAATTCAATAATAATATAGCAAAACCTGTAATAATAATAATAATAATTTACAAAAAAGAAAAATGTTCCTTTACAAAATCATCACCTCTACAAAATGTTCCTTTACAAAAAAATATTTTCCCAACACAATTCATCACCTTTACAAAATGTTCCTTTACAAAAAATATTTTCCCAAGATGTATAGTACTTTTTTGCATCGAAACTCAAACTTTGGGAAAATAAGAGTGATTTACTTATAACAACTCTTTTAGACTAGATATGTTGAAACACGTAACGCACCCACTCAAGTCTAACATCATCAAGTTGAGTTTCATCGTAATGGGAAAACTGGCATCCTGCAAAATACTACATAAAAAAACAATTTGCTTAGGATAATATCAACATCAATAACAAATCCATGATAATTCAAAGTATAACCCAAACCGAAATCAAACCATTATCTTATCTCAAACACAACACTAAGCTACAACAACAACACACTATGCAGCACATACACTATGCAGCAGCAAACAACAACAAACAACAACAACACAGCAACACCCAGCAGAACAAAACACCAAGCACTTGCAACACACCAGAAGCAACCAAGCAACAACACCAACAACGAGCAGCTGCTAGCAAACAACAAGCTAGCAAACAACAACAGCATAGGACAATGAACAATAGCTCATGGTAGTAAAACTTGGAAGAATATGGCAGTAAAACCACACAATTGACACAAATACAAACTTACACTTTCGGGAATCTTGGTGCGTTTGTGTACTAAATTATTTCATACATACATTTCATCATTTCATATCTACACTAAATTATCAAATTGTTAATACCTTTATTGTCTTCCATTTAGTATCCATCTTCAATTTCGTTGCAATTTCCATTTCACTCCGAAATTGAAACAGAGCACTAAAGAAATAAATAGACCAAACTAAGTAGACATACATAAAGTTAATGTGTCAATGGAGGTAGTTATAGTTGATAAGAAAAAAGCACATACACATCTATGATTTCACGCAAATCCTCACTAACGCCTTTTCCCGTGCCTATTTCCTCTTCATTGTGTAAGGAATCAAAGTAGTATACGATGTTATTGAAAGGATCAATAGCACACAATACCCAATGCATCCTATTTGAGACAAATAAAAAATGAATATTGAGAGTAGACATGGGAACGATAATATCACCAAAAAAAAAGGGTACCCGGCATTATATGGAGCGAGGAAAATTTTTCCTTTTGATGCATTGTCTTTAAAGACATCCACCATGTAGTGACTTCTTTTCATATTGTGATCCTTGATCTTCTTCATGTCCCCCTTTTGAAATTGAGTCACTTGTGATATCCCAGATGGACATATAAAACCAAAAAAGGAAGAGACACCACTAATGCCAGCAACCGAATACATCCTTCTAATTCATTTGAAAACAAATAACGAGGCAAGTGAGTTAGCGAGGTAATTCTACAAGTAATTAAAATAATTAAAATTTGTAAGCTACTAAGTAAGAATTTGTAGTTCAATGGTATCGAAACTTATGACATATATATCTTCATATGACAAAGTCCGATTTGGTCTTGTACAAGGAAATCAAAAATTTTCTCCGTACCAAGATACACCTCCTTGCACTGACTTCGTATCCCAATATCAATGGGAACTCTAATTTGTTCATCTAAAGCAATTTTTGCAGCATACTTGAAAAACATTATCATCTCTGGTTGAGCATTTGCAATAACTAATGCTTCAATACATCGATCAACCTTTTCCTTCTCATTGTCAAACGATTTCATTTCCTATTAATAAAAACACACATTGTGCAATATGAATATGTTAAAAAACTAATTACTCAGCAAAAACTAACTACTGAAAAGAAACTTGAGTTCTATTAAATTAACCTTTTGTGATTGAATGGGAGGTGAAGTAGGTGTTCGGTTTGATGGGTGATCAACCTTTTGCGACTCAATGGGTTCATTGTTTGCATTAGAGCATTTTTCATGGCCTTCATGAACTTTAACCAGCTATAAAGAAAATAACTTATTAGATTTAAAATACAAGAAAAATAAGGACTTTGTGTGATTTATAAAAAATGCATCAAGAGTTAATGGATTCTTTACCTTTTCTGAGTTTTCTAGACTTTGTGGCTTTCGTTTGCGTAGACATGTCACTGGTCGTGGTTTTATAGATTCCTTGCCTAGTTTATCCTTCCCTTGTTTATCTTGGCCTTCTTCTTTATCCTTTTCTTCTAAAGGGTTCATAACCTTTCAACATAACAATAAAATAAACATGGAACCGCCAAAAATATTATACAATTCAAGGAAGAATTTGTATCACCTTATCTAGAACAATAAGTTCTATGGGCCATAACACGATACTGCCTATTGCATCTTTGATCACATCAGCTACTCCTTCGATTGGCATTGGCAAAGGTGTATTCTCCTCTACAGCGTAGTCAATACCAACTTTCACATATCCTGATGGTATTGGTGTATTATGCACCATAGTTTCCATTCTGAAGTTATGGACCTTCCCTGAGGCAACCATACGGTAAGAAGGATCTGACAACGCTAATTGGCAAGGAGTTATACCCTATATAAAACAAAATATGAAATTTTAGTACAGCTACTTTGGTACAAAACCACAATACAAAACCAGAATACAAGTTTAGGTAACCTGTGGGATGTTGATTTCAGAAGGCTGACAATCGAAATCAGAAATTTGACAGGTGTGACAATCCTCCTTGTCCCCATGCTTTTGTGTGGCTTGACAATCATCCTCTTCCTCTCCGTTTTGACATGTTTCCTCATCATTATTTATCTTTTTGATCTTTTTCATTTCGCTTTCCAATGATTGCACACGAGAGCACAATTTTCTGACTTGATCCATATATTCCTTCTTTGTTTGAATCATTCCAAAGTAGCTCGTATTAGTCACTCCTACTCCAACACCTATGACACGACCACCGTGCTCTTTTTTCTCCAACGCCCTTGACAACACATCTCCTCGCCCAATGTCTTCCATCCCTCCTTGCTTAGACAAACTCATAAAGTAATCCTGTATCAATGACTATACCATGAACAACTTGGTAATCGAAATAACAATTACTTAAAAATAAAAACTTATTGAAATAAAATACATACAATACGTGAAGCTACTGATTTTGCTCCTTCATCAACAACATTTCCATCCTTATCCCTCCTGATTAACTTCCACAGCTGTCCTCGGCCTAAGGACGATTCATGGATGCCTTTCTTAGCCAACTCCTCAAGCTGAGAAAAACACAAATAATTCTTGTTGTAGGTATAATTTGTGGGTCAAAGATATTGCAACATAGATTATAAAAGAATGTTAACTTACAACATCTTGCTCAAATCGAGCATATCCTCTACGAGCTCGTTTTTTAGGATAAATGTTTCCTTTTGCAGACTTTCTAGCAGCTTCACTCTTCTCCTATTCGTCAAACGATGATTACAAAATGGTCAATATAGGTGTGGTAGAAAGTATCTATACTACACAATCAAGTCGTAAATTACCTTCCATTCTTCTTTTAGCCGACTTGTTACAAATTCAGTCTAGTCATTTAACTTGATGAAATCGTATTGTTTTGGCGGTGTCTTACGTATCTCCATATCTTCAGTCCATATCCATTCTCTTGAGAGCGAAGACTTAAAGTTTCTCCAAGCAATATTAGCTTTGGTCATCATAAATTTCCTCCTACTTTCGTCAACCTTGTATATCAACTACAAGCACAAAGGTCAAGAGAATATTAACAAACTTAGTTATTAGGCATGTGCACAAATGTAACAATAATATAAATTTTGAGCACAATTGAGAATAGTACCTTGAGTTCTTCGAATAATGAATCTAGCAAACGTTGGGGAACATGTTTAGTACCATGTCAAAAGGTAGAACCAAAAGAAGAACCAAAAGCAGAACCACAAGTAGAAGCAAAATCAAAAGGCAGAACGAGAAGCAAAAATAGCAAAACCAAAAGCAGAACCAGAAGTAATATTAACAGAAGCAAAAGCAAAAAGCAGAAGCAAATATAGTACCATGTCAAGTTTTTTTTCTTTTTTTCTTGGATTTGGTAGCTCCTTCCTCCGCATGTACCCATATCCCCTCCTCATGATCATCTCTTTTATAAAAATCTTCTTCAACAACTTGATCATCGAGTGGTTGTGATGGCAGTACAAACGAAGGATCTTCCCTTTCATCTAATTCATGGTCCTCATCATCGATAGGATATCTTTTGTTCGACGACAAAACAAAAGACCATATTTTATTAGCTGGGTCAGTAACATAGAAAACTTGTGTTGCTTGACTGGCCAATATGAATGGATCATCCTTACTACCCACTCTATTGAGATCAACAAATGTGAAACCGGCTTTATGGTCAAAACGAACTCCATTATTGTTATCAGCCCACTTACAACCAAATATAGGAATTCTAAACAGCCCATAGTCCAATTCCCAAATGTTTTCAATTACTCCATAGTAAGACATATTTGCATAAATGGGGTTCTTGTCTTTTGTGCTTGAGATATGCATAGCTTGTGCTACAATTGACACCCCACTATTTTGTGTTGTAGTTTCATTGTCCCTACCCTTTGTACAGAATGTAAACCCATTTATTTGGTAACCAGAATATGAGAAGACATCTTTACTAGGACCTCGGGACAACCATTTAAGTCTATCAGAAACATCAAAAGGTGATTGAGCTATTTCATCTCCAACTCGAGCCTTTAACCACTCAATAAAGCATGAATTGTGTTTGTCAGTAATCCACTTCTCACTCTTAATTGGATAAAGGGTCCTTAAGTAATCCATATGTTCTTCCACATATGGATCAACCTCCGAACTATTATGCAAGACATACAAGTGCGCGCGATGCCACATTTCAGGGTTTATAGTCAACACCTTATTTCCCATGATCCCTTTCCCTTGCCCATTCAAACTTCCATCATGCCTAGGATTTGGAATTCCAACCGCATCAATAAAAGAGAGGTAATCACTTTAAAGATCAATTGCCTCCTCTACAAGGTAGCGCTCAACCATACAACCTTCCGGATGGCTTCCACTCTTTACGTAATCCTTCAAAATCTTCATGTATCTCTCAATAGGATACATGTATCTTAGATATGCAGGCCCACACAACTGAATTTCTCTAACCAAGTGTATTGTTAAATGGACCATTATATCAAAGAAAGAAGGTGGAAAATACATCTCCAACTGACATAAAGTAACAATAACTTCCTTTTGCAAGTTAGGTAGCTTTAAAGGGTTGATTTCTTTTCTACATATCTCACCAAAGAAAATGCAAAGTCTTGTAATGGCATTTCGAACATCTTCAGGCAAAATGGAGCGAATAGCAATAGGAAGAAAATGCTCCATGAGTACATGGTAATCATGAGATTTCAAACCTAAAAGTTTATTATCTTTCAAAGACACAAGATTTTTAATATTGGAAGAATATCCATCAGGAACCTTCACACCATGTAAACACTCACAAAATATTTTTTTCTCTTTTTTACTTAGAGTATAGCACGCTGGAGGAAGATATGTACGATCACCATGCATAACAGGATGTAACTCAGGTCTAATTCCCATGTCGACTAAATCTTTTCTAGCATGAAGCGAGTCTTTGCTCTTGCCTGGTGTATTGAGTAGTGTGCTAACAAGACTTTCACAAACATTTTTCTCAATGTGCATGACATCAAGAAAATGTCTAACATGTAAGTCCTTCCAATAAGGAAGATAAAAAAAATCGACCTCTTCTTATAGCCACGAGTTGGAACCTGGGAGGAGTGCAACTTTCCATGATTTACATCTAAGACCTCTACTTTTTGTAATATCTGGAGACCTGTTGGAGGAACCGGAGCTCTACCCTCTTCAGCATTACCATCAAAAGCTTTCCTCCACCTTCGATAACGATGTTGCACCGGTAAAAACTTACGATTTCCCAAGTAGACAACTTTCCCAGAATTTTTCCTTTCCTTTTTTCCTGAGTTTTTCAACTTAGTTGAAGTTGTGTTCTCTTGACATATAGGGCATGATTTATAACCTTTCACAGTATAACCTGACAAGTTACCATAGGCGGGAAAATCATTTATTGTGCCGAAAAGCATGGCTCTCAAATTAAAAGTTTCATTACGATGCGCATCAAACACTTCAATGCCAGAATCCCACATCAATTTTAGATCTTCAATCAAAGGAGCCAAATAAATGTCTATATCATGGCCAGGTTGTCTAGGTCCTGATATTAACATTGAAAGCATCATATACTTCCGTTTCATAATTAAAGAAGGAGAAAGGTTATAAATCATTAAGATTACCGGCCATGTACTATGAGTGCTACTTTGATTACCATGAGGGTTCACACCATCACTTGCAAGGGAAAGTCTTAGATTTCTAGGCTCCTTACCAAAATCATGGAAATCCTTGTCAATTTTGATCAATTGTGGGGAATCGGCCGGATGTCTTAACATACCATCATTCTTCCGTTCATCCGCATGCCATGTCAAACTCTTTGCAGTTTCTGGAATGCTAAAAAGTCGTCTAAACCTTGGCAAAATTGGAAAATACCACATTACTTTGGCCGGAATCTTCTTTTTCTTATATCTTGGAGCTTTACATTTGGGACAATACTCCAACAACGAATACTCTTTGCGATACAAGATGCAGTCGTTTGGACATGCATGGATTCTTCCATAAGTCAAGCCAATAGAGCTTAGCATCTTTTTAGCATCATAGGTGCGAGTTGGAAGTAGGTTTCCATGTGGGAGCATTTCATGTATTGCATCTAAGAAACCAGCAAAGCCTTTATCTGTTATTCCATTACTTGCTTTGACATTAAACAATTTGATAATAGCAGATAATCTACTATATTTAGTGCATCCCGAATACAAAGGTTTCTTTGCATCACTACACAAGTTATCAAACATCTCTGGACAATCTGCAAAGTTTTCCTCCAAAGCTTTTGCCATTTCTTCAAACTCATTATCTTCACCGGAAGATTCTCCATCCATCTCTACTTCCATCCCAGTTTCAAAATCCATCATACCGTGCACATTAGGAACCTCCCCTAATATCTCACCATGATGTAACCAACACTTGTAAAATTGATTAATGCCTTTAGCCATCAAGTGAACTTTTACGTCCTCAATATTAAGTCGAACCATACTATTACAATCAACACATGGACATAAAATATGTGTTGCGTCCTCAGCATGTTTTCTTGCAAATTCAATGAACTCTTCTACTCCATGCTCATACTCATCACTATTACGCCGAGCATGCATCCAATTTCGATCCATGACAACTATGATGTAGCAATAACAATACACACGTAGCCTTTATTAATCCTGTCTATGTTTGTGAAAAAATGTGTCTACATATCAAAACCAACAAAAAAAATAAAGTGTACAACCAGAATCAAACGGTTGTATCATTTTGTCTTACATTTAATCATTAAATATTTAAGCTCATTTTCTTTCATTTTGTATCTTACACCATTTTCCAATTTCAACCGTAATAACCAACAAAAATGGCAAAATTACCTTACTGTGTGTTACAGGTTACAGCCCATACACAAAATATACAAAGAAATGTGACTTGTAAAATAACCTTTATCTTGTTTAGGCAAAACTCAAAAGAAGAGCGCACACACAACATATCCAAACTTACCATTTTGCATATGTGCCAAATCAATCAAAAGAAAAATAAAAAGATGAAATAATCCTGAAAAGTTGCTCATGAAAAAATCACCACCTTCAAATGTCTAATGTACATTGCACTGTATGTAGTACAGTTGTATCGCAACAATTTTACTAGTCCAAAATTCAATTTCAAAAACTTCATTCTATTTTCTTTTTCATCCTTCTTTAATTTCAAAGACATTTAATCTCATTTTCTTTCATTTTGTATCTTTCTTTATTTTCCAATTTCAATCACAAATTCAAGTCCTCAACAACAAATCAACAATCACAAAATCACAAATCACAAATCACAAATTTCCAATTACAATCACAAATTCACAATTACAATTACAAAATACAACTTTACAAACTAAAATACAATCAAATATTCAACAAATACAAAAGAAAACTAACCTCTGATTAAACTGAACTAAGTCAGTTGTCGTCGGTGACTCGATGTTGTTCGCCGCGGCCAAGGGTCGCCTTACTCGCCTCGTCCAGTCGTCCTCGCATACCAGAGCGAAGTCCACAGACTCGCCTCGTCCAGTCTTACTTGCCAAAGGTGCTCCCGTCTTTGTTGGGCTGTTTAGAATCTACAACAAAAATCATGAAACACTTGGGTTTTAGGAAAAATCATGAATCGGAAGATTTGGGTTTGAGGCTATTAGAACTACAATTTCAGAATATATTCAACAAGCTAATTCAAAAATAAATAAAAAAAAAAAGATATTCGAAACACATTCAACCAAAAAAATAGAAATTCAACAAAGTAAAAATACATATCAAATTACATTCAACAAAAAAAAGTACATCCAACAATAAATTCAACAAATTAACCAAATTAACCAAACCCTCGCAAACGAAAACAGAAACATCAACCACATCAAAACTCCTCTTCAAACCTTACCTCACTCGAATTCCTCTTACCCTAATCCGAAATCATCCACCAAAAAATGATAAGAAGTGAAATTCGAAAAAAATTACAGAAAATCGATAATAAGAATTAAGAATTTCGAACCTGCAGATTGGAGTCTTAGAGTTGCGAAGATGGCGACGAAGATGGCGAAGAAAGGGAGTAATGGAGGAGAGGAGAGAGAAACAGAGAAAGGGAGGTCGCCGGACCGGTAGTGACGTCGCCGGAGGTAGTGAGGTTGCCGGATGAGGGATTCTGGTTTGAGAGGGTTTTCAGTTTGAGTTTTTTGCGAGGGTTTGAGAGGGTTGGTAGTTTTGAGTTTTTTGCAAGGGTTTGAGTTTTTGCGAGGGTTTTGAGTTTTTGCGGGTTGTAGGCTTTAATTTCAGGCGCCTTTTTTCTTTACTTTTGATAGCGGTTCTATTATAACCGCTTTAAAAACTTCCTTAAAACCCAAAACTGCCATTAGAAGTTAATGGAGGTACTTTTTAGAGCGGTTTTAGTTGAACTGCTATTAATCATGTGCTGTTATATAATGTTTTTGGCGTAGTGTTTCCACAACTATACTATCTTGATTGCGGGGAAGCTGGAGCGGAGGGTGCCAGCCGCTATTGATCGTGGTGCTGACAAAGGCATAATTAACAGGTTCCGGAGAATTACCTAGAGGACGCCCACCATTGTTTATGTAGTGTTCTAAATTGTAAAAGATATTGTCCGGGGTCCCTTGTTGACGCCTCGCCTGAAATCCATCTCGAAACACCTCATTGTAATGGGCACGATCCCACCTGAACACATGCCGGCTGACATCTGCATCTCTGGTGCTGTTCCGGTACTCAATGTCAGCTAAAGGAGGATCTAGGAGCCGGCAGTTGAAGTAGTAATTGTTTCTACTAAACATTGGACTCCCAGCTCTTCGCATTCGTCTAAAGGTTGTGGGTAGTTTGCAGCACAACCTCTCCAAGGAGAATTTGGAGGGATTGACATTTTTTAAAAAATCAAAAATAACCAAGATAGCACCTCTCCTATATCTTCTTTAATCTGTAAACCTTTTAAAAGTTCAACGCTGTTCTAGAGTTCAAACATTTAAAAGTTCAACGCTCTTCTATTGTTCCTTATGAAAAGTCAACTACCAAAATGCCCCTAATTACTATGGCCGGAATGACATGCCCTTGCGTCCTTTGAATTGACTCTTTGACCCCCTCTCTCTTTTATTCCTCCTCTTCAATTCGGTTGAGTTGACTAATATGGTATCACGTGTTTAAGCTGATGATTGAGACCTAAGAATATGTTTTATATTTTATCATTTTGATAATTTTCACCCGAATTGATTATAGCTCGATCTGATCAAGACGCGCATTAAAAATATATATAAAAAAAACAATCGAATTGTTTTGATAATTTTCGAAACCGGCCCGCTAATCATTTTAACCATAACCCGAAACCAAACCATTTACTCCCTCCGTTTTTTTATTTGCATCACTTTGGATTGCACAAAATTTTAGGAGATTTATATAATATTTTGAGTGCGTGGGTGAATATATTATTATTGTAAAAAAGTTAGATGGAGACCATAAAAGAGAAAGTATGTGAGAAAGAATAAATATTTTTATTATTTTAGTGGGGACCATGGAAGAGAGAGAAATGATAAAATACGTTAAGCGGGAAAAATGATAAAATATAATATAATGTTTTCAATCACAGAAGTGATGCATTTAAAAAAAAACACTCATAAAAAAAAGTGATGCAAATAAAAAAAAACAGAGGGAGTACTTGGCAATTTAGCATCCAATTATAGTTTCTTGTACAATTCCAAATATTAATCATTAATAAGTAAAAATTATAATGGATAATACTTTCTCCATTTCCATTTAGGGCTTGTTCACATTTACTGAACTAAGCTGAGCTGAACTGAACTGAACTAATTGGAGTTGAACTGAACTAAAATTAAGTAAATGTGAACATGTCCTAAGTTGACACGTTAAATTTAGGCACACGTATTATGGAGAGGAGAGAGAATAATAAAGCAAGTGGGGTAGCTAAGCTAGTAAATATAAGGTATTAAACTTACCCAAAAAATAAACGTGTCAACTCAAAAAAAAAAAAAATTAAAAAGGAATATGTGTCAACTAAAAAAAACAGAGGTAAGTATAATTAAAATATAGTATATGTGTTGATCCTTGGTATGATCCTAATATAATCCCACAAAAATAACTATAAACCACAAAATCTAGTCGGAGTAGAGTATGTGAATAATGTTGTATTTAGGGATGGCAATTCTAAATGGATATCCGCAAATCCGATCCACCCGAAATAAATAAATGGACGAAAATCCGCATTAAATGGATGAAGGGCGGGTGACAGATGAAGCGGGTGACGGATCGGATCGGATTCGAGTGGGCTCCGTTCTTCCATCATTCGTTTATCACCCGATCCGCAGTCCATCTGTGTGTATATATATATATAATTCCCAATTTTCTTATATACTAGTATACTACACTATATATGTACTATATATTTCTAAAAAAAAAAATTCTAAAATTTTTTTAATTTTATTTTAAAAAATATAAAACCTCCCTCAATTCCTAATTATGTAGTAGCGAAATAAGTTCATGATTCCGTTAAAAAAAAGGTAAGTTCATGATTATTTTTATTGCTATAGTTTGGAATAAAAATTTAATTAATGGTTTACTTTTTAAGTTTAAAATTGGCTAAAAGTTTTTTTTTTATTTTTTTTATTTAACGTATTAGATTTTATAGTTAGAGTAGGATTATAATTTATTTTTTTTTGAAATATTATAATTATCACTCGTTAAGCATCCGATCCACCCGTTTCATCCGCGGATGACGGATGGATCGGATGCGGGTGATGGGTTTTGCGGGTGACGGGTGGATCGGGTGGAGCGGATGATTAATTCGGGTGGATGCGGGTGGAGCTCCATCCGACCCGAATCCGATCCGTTGCCATTCCTAATTGTATTTGTGAATAACAAGATCCCATAAAACATAACTATATGTCGAGGTTATATAAATGGAGGGTTGAGAGACAATAAAGTCATGTCTCACAAGGGTAATATAGGTTTTTCAGGCGCCAGTTTAAAATTGTCTCATTGAGTTATCAAATAATATCACTGGAGTTTATTTCAGTGGTACAAAATACACTCTTAGTGATACAAAATATAGTCTTAGTGGTACTTCAAAAAGCTCCACTGGAGTTTTAGTGGAACAAAATATAAACTCAGTGGTAGTAGTCCCCAAAAAATTTTGTCCGTTTTTGCACGTGATACATGTCTGAAAAGTTTTAGTGGGGCCCACACCACCTTTTTTCTCTTTTTTCTCTCTTCCTATCTCTCTCCTTCATTCACTCACTTCCTTATACTTTTATGTTATTTTAATAGTTGTGAGACATTTCCATTTGTCTCACAACCCTTGATTTATACTTCCTCCTATATGTCGTCAAAACTGTACTTATCGACGATTATAACGGTCTTTAGTACAATACTGACTCCTTGGGTGTAATATTTCGTACTTTTATACGTTTTACAAAACTGTACTTGTCGACGATTATAATGGTCTTTAGTACAATACTGACTCATTAGGTATAATATTTTATAAAGGTAATAATTTTGTAGCATTTATTTATATTTAATTATATAAAAGTAATTTTGTAACAATTTTCCATCTATTATTTACTAGTGGGTTACAACTTACAAGTACAATAAGGAGTTTCTTTCAAGAGCTCTAAGGATTCTCTACCCAGCAAATGAATGTCTTGACCTATTTATGAGCACTAACAACTACAACCCAATTAGTAACGATAACTACCCACTACACCAATAATCTAAGTTATTGCAATTGGATATATCTGGCCTTGTCCACGTATAATGGGAAAGTCATCCACGTTTTGCTTGACCAAGTAACCGTCAATAACCGTATCACATACCTTACTATGACATGCTCCTATATTTTTGGAGCCATGCATCAGTGGTGCTTATGTGGCATCCAACTGTCGAGCCAACTAGATTGTCTACTTTCCCTTAGTGTTGTTACTTTCTAGGAAAATCTAAGTGTAGACACCTAAAATGAATCCCTGAACAAAGTCCGATGACAAAACAACATTCATTGCCTAATTTGGTCCGGTTCAAATGATGAATTTAAGAATTACTTGAATAGACCTTTTGTTCTAGCCCCACTATTATTTTTCTAACCCATTTTAGCCATTTCAAAAACCCAAACCCCTTATTTTATCCCCAAATCCATAAATGTTCCCCCAATTTCTGCTTTTCAGAATTCGCGGCCCAAAATCGAACAAGTTTGATTT